TAACGGGGACAAAAAAGTATGCACCACTGACGAGTACCAAACAGGACAAAACAGCTGGCCAGAGCTCTTTGTCGATCATGGACAAAAGCAGTTGATGACGGCGACGCAGTAGACGTTATTTATCTAAATTTGTCAAAAGCGTTCGATCGAGTGAACCACGACATTCTACTGGGGAAAATCTATAATCACGGAATTCTGGGCCTCATGCTTGATTGGATCGAAGCATTTCTCCGACATCGGACCGTATCAGTTAGTGTTTCTGATTCGCTTTCCAGTCCTATGGACGTTCCACAAAGATCTGTGCTTGGCCCGCGACTTTTCCTAATATTCATAAACGACCTACCGAAGGCTCTGGGGCCAAAATCATTACTGTCTGCTGATGATGCCAAAATTTGGAATACAGTAACGCAACCAGCGAGCTCACTGGCACTCCAGGAAACGTTGAAAGCAGCTCATCTGTGGTCCATTATGAACGATATTGAATTCAATGTGCCAACGTGTAAGGTTCTATCTCTACGACACAGGAGGCGATCTTCGTATTTCCTCGGAAATGAACAACTATCAAACGCCACAAGTGAGAAGAACCAGGGCATCATCATTCAGGAAAACTTATGCTGCCCACTCAACTGCACCAAGGTGTCCAACGCAGCTGTAAAGAATGTCGGTTTACTTAAGCGGGTCTTTGGCCGGTTTGAGTAAACGCTTTTCCCCCGTCTACTATCAGCATACATTTGCCCACTCACAGAGTATGCTATCCAGGCATGGAACCCATGCCTACAACGCGACTGCAAAATGCTGAAGCGTCCACAAACGATGGCCACCAAAATGGTCAGGGGGTTGAATCGATGTTCATACCCAGAGAGATTGAAGCCACTGGGGCTATATTCCAATCACTACCGACGCATCAGAGGAGATATGATTATGGTATAGCAAATAATGCAAAATTCGAGTTATCCGTGTCACCCGCTGCTAAAATTATCACTTATCACGTTCATCTTAGAGGACATGCATTCAAACTAGTGGTCTTAAAATTCCGGTGTAAGTCATTCGCAGTCAGAATGTGTTCGATCTAGAACTCTATCTCACCTCATGTTGTCTGTGCGTCAAACATTGAATCTTCCAAAGTGAAACTCGATGAAGCACACCTTATATGCCAACATAAGTGAAGCTGCATGCAGCAGTGGAAGAAGCACGTATCAGGTGATATTTTACACAAGGAATTGAATGTATCACAGCCTGTTAACCACAACAGGAATCTATGGGACGAAAAAAGCATGTTGTAAATTATTCCCGTAATAAATCTTTGATCAAAAACATTTCCATCCTTCTGAGGCACTCTCCAGCTTTATCTGTTCAGAAAGGATAATAAAACCAACTGTGATAACCACCAAACTACGGCGAATCAATGGGGACCGGCTCAGCATGGTCATTCCGGATTGTTTTGTGAAACGCGCAATCACCCAAACAACAACTGGTCGATCGTGGGAGAGAGGATAAACGAAATCAGCCTCCACGCCACACGAGTACAAAAACCAGCAACACATACTCAATTTCATGTGTGCCTTGTCAAGTTATCAAATGTTTACAAATTATAATGATGGTGTTGTACACCATCGAACCCCGTCCAAAAAAATAACAGAACACAGAAAGTGGTATGAAAAGTGTTACTATTCAGACCAAATTTTTGGCAAAAATTGCCCGGAGGAAACGGAGATCACAAACAGGTTTCTTGAATGAAAATTACCCCGGGGTTGGAACGGATTTAGTCCCAACGAGAGCGCTTCTTTTTCACCTCAACCGAACGAGATGAAGTCACTGCGTCGGGAGCCGGTGCTGCTGCTTGTGTAGGTGTCACCGGTGGCGGTGGCGGTGGACAAGGTGTTGGTTGTGAAGATGCAAGAACTTCCCCTGTGGCAGTCTGCGCAGCTGGTCTGAGCAATTCCGGATGTGTGTATTTACTTGCCTCAACCCCGGCCGAGACAAAACGTCGAGTGTATTGGGCGGAGAATGCAGATTTCAAAGCAGATAGTCGGTCGGATTGGATGCCTGTCGAAACAGATGGGTGAATTTAAACACGCCCATTAAAAATACCTCCAGAGAGAGAGAGAGAGTACAGTACGAATGAATAAATTGAAATGAGATTTCATAGCTGCGTTTAGCGACTGCTTACTTCAGTGTCTGTTACTAGTCAGTTTAGATGCAGTCTATTGCTACACCCCAAATGTAGGTTCTTCCAAGGACCATATAACTCAACTCTATTCGTCATCTCACGAGTAAAAATAACCATGAAAATGTGAGATAATGTATTTCAAGTAAGATCATTGAGTGACATCCAAATATAAGTGACTTACTAGATATTTGCAAACAATTAATCTAAGTTAACTCTGAAACATCTGCAATGTCCACCAGCCTCCTGGAATATTCAGTTCCGTTTCAGTTTTTACAACCATTAACCATGCACTTTCGTGCGCCGGTTTTGGTTGCTGTCTTCCGGTGCCCCATTTGGATAAAACAGCAGAATGCATAGTAGAGTGTTGACAGCAAATTCAAGCGGAAGATAGAGAAATCATATAGAGTCGTGCTAGGAGAATAATGAGTGAAAGCACGAGCGCCATCCCGAGGTCCTCAGCCAGGGGGCCTAACGGGGCCTATGTGACCTAGTCTTCTGGTTAGGGTTTTCATATCCTCATGCCAGGTCTTCGTTTGACCACCCTTGACCTTTTCCAATCCACTACCAGCCTCAGTAAACATCTCTCGCCGAGGCAACCTATCTGGTGACATGCCCCAAACAACGTAACCTATGCAGGTCGATCACTTTCTCCAGTGGACGACCGCGACTGCCTAAAACTACGCCTGACCTCAGCATTGTTCGTTTGGTTACCCTACCAGAGTCGTGCAATGCCAAATAGTCATTCAATTCGTTTTTGGACTTGGCAGTTACACAGCTATGCCTCATTCTGTTGGATGTTTTAAACAATTTTTCTTCACTTACCATCTACCAAGCAAAATAACACGTGGTCCCTGTAGCAGATTGTTGAAAATATCCCCCAAACACCACGAATAGTGATAAATATTTAGACGATGGTTTTTCTTATAAGGGGGACGGACATATGCAAAACGTATCCTAACTAACAGAGCCTGTTGAGCTGAATTCGATGCGATAGCGAGTTCTTGTTCGATACATTCCCAAACACCTGACGACTTATTGCCAAGTTACTAACCCGCCCATTCCATCCCACTTAGGCAAGACTACGTAAGCATCGATTGTCGAGAACTGCTAGATGGTTTACTTTGGCTACATCCCGCAAGATGATGAGCAAGCTTGACAAGGAGTTTGTGCAGTTTTATCGGAATTCTATGCGAAGTATGTCTACATGGTCTGGCTGTTTGTTATAGGGTGCAACTAAGTGTGACCTGCAAGCCACTAGAAGTTATTTTTTGCAAGGATGCGTTTGGGTTCGGACCACCAACCACCTAAATAGTCTCGTCGAGAATATGACTTCATTCATACAGTTTGTGGGACTGTTGAACGAAGCTGCGTTCGGGAGGATCCGGCTATCGTCGTTTGAATTGGTACACCTACCAAGCCAAGTGGTTACCGGGGTGAAACCGTTATCATCTTCTAGCAACTTGATGAAACAGTAAGTGAGGGTTACGTGCACGATGTGGATCAAAGAAAATTTTGAAGGAAGATGGCAGGTCACAGAACCTTAAGAGTCACCACTGGTGTCGTGAGATACTACTCACGAGTGAGTAGTAGGTTACAAAATTGGTGATTAGTTTCGACGATCAAAAATTAAGATTACCGAGGGCAAATTGTTGTGGCTCAGAGAATAACTATCGACTGCTACGTTCTGTCTTGCGGCCAGGAAATGTGATGGTATGTTTCTGGAATAAACACTAGGAAAACTAAATTCAACTTTAGTGGATTATTTCCCGGTAAAACAGATCGAAGAGTTTTCGTAACATTTCACAGATAACAGAACAACTGTTTGACACGTTCGGTGAATTATAGGTGACTCTGAAACAAAATTCAACACACAAAATTAATCGACAGAAAGACACCCAATCAGGTACAAAAAATTGTTCAAAGAATTGGTGATTATTGAAACATTTGAACGAACTGTAAGTAAACAATGCACTCACCGGACTGACGGACCACACCGGTCATTTCCCCGGTGGCGGACATGGCATGTGGAGCCGCGTATGAGGTGACCTTGGTCGGTCCGTCGTTCTGATCCTGTTCGGACAAACCCAGTCCCGGACGGGCTCGAGGGGGACGTGGTTCAAACCCGTAACTGGGTCTACTGGCTCCCTGTCCCACAGTGCCCGATGACGAGAGAACAGATCGATTCTGTGCGAACCAGGCACACGATTTCGCAATATCGAGTAGCCGAGGCGGTACCGGTTGACTGGCCGATTCCAAGTGTTGAACAAGACAGGCGGCAAAATCCACGGGGTCTTTGCCGGCAACAAACAACGTGTACGCGGTTCCCTTCATACCGGCTCGACCGGTACGACCAACACGGTGTGTGTGGGTGTCAATGTCACGTGCAACTTCGTAATTGACCACATTACGTATACTCGGAATGTCCAAACCGCGAGCTGCAAGACAGGACAAGCAAGTGAGACAAAATGATGGTGTTGTCAAAACCTGCGGATCCGAAAGATCCGGCTTTGTCTGATAGTTGACAAAACCCGATCGCACATTCGCCATAATTAGAATTAACGAAGACAGACCGTTGTTTGACCTTCGAAATAGATCAACAGGTTTGTGGAAGTTGAACCACCTCGTGGGTTTCGGGGGAATGGGGAGATATGTGCAAAACCATTTCGTCAAAACAGGGGACCAATTTGGATGAATCGTTAGCTAAATTAGACAGGTTATTTAGTTCTCAGTAGCGGTTAGTGCTTTCAAGGCCAATCCCGTCATTATTGTGTGCTACCTTCACAGAAAAACCTGTTTTGCATATGCACACAAATTTACACACTGAGTTAGCATGATCTCAACTTCAATCTCTCTTACCTCTGACACGTTCTATCTCGCATTAAAGTTTACACGAAGTACCGAGTTCCTCGTCTGACGTGGATACAAACCAATAGTGAGAAAGCGTAGCAAGTGAACTTCACAATAACTCTGGACTATTCAGTATTATTTTTTTAGAATCCGGGTGAGATATCAATTCTGTTTTTTTTCCGACTGGCGTACCGAAGGTAACAGTCAGTCCTTTAATTAATTAATTAATTAATGCAAACTGTTTTGTTCGCACAAGTAAGACGCTGCTTGTCAACAACCCCTTTAAAACAACTGTGATCCTGTGGCTCATCCACATCGTTGGATCGAAATATTTAAATCTATCGACAATCAAATGTACAGTGATGTAAGTGATCTGTATCATACCGTTTTACGAGCGGAAAACGTGAGAATTGCCAAAAGTTATGTGGTAAATTTTATAGTCAGATTTGTAAGTTTTATTGATCGAAGCCCATGCAAAAATTATCCGTTTGCTTTATATGTTGTTCACGAAAGTTATGGTGATTTAGCGTGCCATTGGAACCGGGGGCGGCGGGGGGGGAGGAAGAAGACAGGCCACTAAGCAACTGACTAATTTGGTCATTAGAGACACACAGTAAGCAGATAGTCGGATCCTTTTAAAATCCAAGTGATCATTATGAACGAGATGCCATGGCGGGGTGGGGTGGGGTGGGGGAGAGTTCATACAAAGGTGACCCTTAATTTTAAGCCCTCAAGTCTACATGATTCTGCTCAAAATTCGTGATCGATAACCTATCGTGCTGTTCAGTTTCCAGTTGCACAGTGTGGTCAATTCAATGGTGATGAATTTCGATAAAAAAGAGGTGCATTCCTATTTTTCTGTTGTGATTGATTGATCGGCACCGACAGTTGCAGTTGGTTTTTGATCAATAGGGCTGCCTGTATACGAGGAGACGAGAAATGAAAATCAATCAGCTGGAGCGTGGAATTAGCATTTGTATTATTCAAGCATGATTGTCGAACAAAATGAAGATTCAGTGCCCTTAAGGGGAACCATCTGATAGAAAGGTCACAAGTATCCGACGTTTCTGGACGTCAATGGTCAAGTTAACCAATAAATCTTGGTTCAAATGCTCCAATCAGTCAGTTCGGACGTTCTCTATTTTGCCCTACTGCCGCACCGAAAAACGGATGATACAGCACCGCGGACTGTGCTTATCTGGCCCGATTTGGCGAGTTCTACGTATTCCGTATGCACGGTTCCTTGGTTACACAAATTTCTGTTCACTCTCTCGCCAGCGATATCCGGTACTTAAACGAGATCTTCCGGAACAGGCACGATCGCAATATGGCCTAGTTTTTCATTATGATACAAATATTGCGATGCCACTGTGAAGAAAACATCATGCTGCATTTTCAATGAGACCTCTATGAGTCCTTTAGTTACATTTTTAACCAATGAACACATATTTATGAAATCCAGTTTTGTATACATCATTGAATTATGCGTGCGCGCGTATCCCTTTATTTCCAGCCACTTGCACTGACCAGTGCGGTGCAATTGATTACAGCAGTCGATTTGAATCCGTTCGTTTTAATCGTTGCGAAATGAAATCGGCGCGATGAGTATCGTGCACCAATTTTCTCGATCGGCT